GAAAACACAAGTTTAATATTGTTTTATTAATAAATATACAGTGTTTAGCAATACTAATTGTTTTGTTGAAAATTGTTTTCATACTTATTACAATGTTTTATAAGATGCAATTATGAATTATACCAGGATTTTTGGGAAAATGCCACATGGCAAATTTGGAATAATTGTGTCTTTAATTTTCTTTTCAATTTGGGACAAAAATTTAATTGTGAAATTTATCATTTAGGAAAAATATGCCAGCATTCAAGATGTTAAAATTCTTTGAACAAAGCTAAATAAATCTTATTGAAACTGATCAGAACTTAAAAGATGTCCGAAACATCCAGAACCTCCACACCAAATACAAAAAAGTGGTACCTATTTTCAAATCACCAACCTCGGGATTGGGAATTTCTTTTTTTTTGGATTGGGAAAAAAGAACAAAATTTGGATTGGGAATGGGGTCTATGTATAGACCAATGGGAAAGGGAGAAAATAGCCTGTATACAAATAGTTCTATATACAAATCTACACTTGTTTCATGTTTACCTTTATGCCGAAATAAATCTATCTATCTATCTACAGTAAATATTAACTAACATCAAATTTTGCAATAAAAACGATTGGTGATTTTTTTTGTTTACATTTGTTGTGTATCATTAAAGTGGTGAATTACTTTATAACCTTCATAGTTAAATTTTCATTTTCTCTTTTACTTTGATGCTGTATATACAGCATTTACATTACAATAGAGCTGATAAAAGATCATTAAAAGAACTTTTAATAATGATTTACCGTTGAAAACAGGTTGTTTGTTCCTGTGACATTGCATGCAATGTGGCTATGAAAATACTGGTTATTAATCAATAGGTGTAATAACCCAGTACAATCAGTTTCACTAGCAGATTGCTTCTTTCCGTACCCTGGAGCATTTATAAAACACTTACAAATGCTCCAAGGGTCTGTCGACCACTGTTGAGCATCGCTGTTTTTCCAGTTAGGTGCAGGTGGTGAAGATGCATGATTTTGCACAATATAGTCATAAATGGCGCCACATATGCTGTTTGGGCAAGCAAGTTTGCCCTTAGTAAAGCAACAGCTGCATCTTACTTGCCCAAGAGGACAAACTTTGTTTCCAGCATTCCCTACTGACTTATGGTCTGGCTTGAGAGTTTCAACTTGACAGCTGCCACACGTCGCAGTTGATGGTAGTGATTTTGTAGACCTAATGTTCTGTAAGATATCCTTATGTTGTTGGTCAGCTATGTCATTACAGAATGGTACCAGACCCTCTTTTAAATATCCAAGTCCTAAACCAGCCTTTACCCACTGTCTGTAGCTTTCCTTCTCTAACTGAAGTTGATGGGCCATCCTGATAAGCTACCAAAATCTAAAAAAAAAAATTATGTTAAAAATTTATATAAATAAGTAAATACATATGTATAGCCTTGGATTGCATTTCAAAGTCCAAAATATTGGGTACATGTAAATATGATATGCGTTCCTAAACAAAATCAATTACAGGGACAACAAACTGCATGTACATTTTGTATTAAGGGAAAGGTGGGAAATTTCTGAAAATAGCTGGTTAAGAGTTTTGTAACAATCTGAATGACGCACGGACCGACGATAGACACCGGACAAATTGTGATTACAAAAGATCACCTTACACATTTTGTGCTCAGATAAACTAAACAATCAATCATAAAGAGTAGACTTGCTGAAATTTAATCACACAAAGACATTTAAATAAATCAATTAATTTTGACAAAGTTCAAAAGACCTGACAAACCTTTTATCTCATCAAAGAGGCATGTCGACAATCATCAGTAGAAAATAATTTGGTCATTATCATTGCAGAAAATTTTGTTGTTTTTTTCCTGTTTGACAGTAGATCTGAGTAAAAATCTGAGTTTAACCACTTGGCATTTCACTTATTACTGCAAGCCTAATTTCCACATAAACAAATGTTCATACCAATTTATTTTTGTATCATTTGTGGGGGGGGGGGGGTTCAAAGGGGGGAAAAATCATTTACATCTATAAGAATATCTAATTGTTCATAAAACATTATTTCAAAGTGTTTTCAATACTGAATAGTCATGTGAAATCCCCCCTACTGTGGCCCTACATTTTGCTTTTCACTCACTAGTGCCCCCCCCCCCCCCTTGCCCATCAAAATAACGGGGTCCCAGCCAAAATATTTTGCTGACATTGGCAATATATTATTATGTAATGCTTTGATCTAAAATATCAGGGGTTGTAATTTAATTGACCTTTTTGAAAACCTAGCTAAACATCATTTTCCGGTACATAGATTAAGCTCTTAATTAGGAATAACACCAACCAGTTCTTATTACAATTTCATGATATTTCTTTTTTTCTATCATTGTTTTACCGTTCAAGGTGAAAAAATTGACGTGTTTTAAATTATCAGTATTCTTCCAATATCTATTGCAAATTTTTCAAAAAATAAAATGTTTATAATGAAAATCAATAAAACTAAATCAGTCGTACAGTAGTGGCATCTTCTATAATAAATAGAGATATTTTCTGCGTAAACTTGTGTATTTACTTTATTTTTTGTATGGAATTATTCATATAATGATATTTAATTATTTTCATACAAATTGAGAAATAATTGTTTTATTTCCCTTTAATTTAAAAAAGGATAAAAACATTTGTTAATATTACGCTCCATTTGATGAAATTTCCCAGAGGTTAGTCCAACTTATTAGACTTGTCAAAGAGACACCGAGATAATTTTGGACGGGCGCTGTCTTTTTCCAAGTCCAACCACGAACTGCAGTTTTATGCACGGACGCTTCCCAATTAGAAGTTGTTGGGAGCGAAAACTAGAAAAGTTTCAAAGAAACGGTCTACATTACCTGAAAGAGAATCGTTTTTTATGCAAGGTTCCAAATTATCATACTTCAAAGTCGAACAGAAGTCTAAATATTCCACTTTAATTTTTTTAATCGTTGAAAATTATTGAAAGCGGCCATATTGGAAAGCGGTGTCATGGTAAAATTGTAAACACTGGTAAAATCCATGGTGTTACACAGGTATCGGCGGCAATCGATTGTATTTGCCAAGCTTTATTATACAATTTGTTTATGTTATTTATATGAATTATTGCAGGAATAACTCTTTTATTCACACACAAATGTTTCAGCATTAAAAAGAGAATGTGTAAAGGAAATTATGATAACCTTACTTAGAAATTAAATAGTTTATGATGTCCGATGTCAGATCATACTGCATTTAAGTCCGTTTAAATTGTCAAATTAGATATTATTAAGTTGGATTTTTTAACATCTGTGATCATTAGGTGAAATTTCTGAACTACCTTTTTATTTTATAACCCTGCCATGATTTCCCACATACGAAAATACAATGTAATTGTAGGTACATCTTAATGAATTATAATTATACTATACATGATGAAGCAAAGAAGAATTTCAATTTATATTACACTCCATATCAATTTCTAGTTTATTATCTTTAAAAGAAATTGAGGACGGTTGTGTATGGGAAGAAGTTCAAAACAACCAAAAATAACTTTAAAACTCTGAAAAAAAATCTTAAAATTTCAAACTATAAAATGGAATTTCAGACAGTCCTCAGTAAAATACAATTGTCGCACAGATTTGACGGGGTTTATGATAAAAACACAGCAAGCGGAAATTTAGTGACCGTTATTTAGATGTTGAATAGCATAACAATGTAAGACAGATGGGAGAAATGTTGGAACGACTGTCGCAAAAGGCACCAAAACCTCTGATACCCATTAAAAATTCCATGTTATCTAGTTCCCGTTGAACGGCACCTCGAATGTGTCACATTGAAAGTTCCATGATTACCGCCGTATTATGTACACATCTGTGGATGTTGATTAAAAATTTCAACATTATTATGTTAAAGTGATCAATTCTGTTTAAACCGGCGAAAGGGAGCACTTGAACCTACCAGAGCCGTCTTTGGCACTCCTGTGTATTTATGTTTCTATTTTGCAGTTTCAGGCGTTTTTGGTGGGTTTTTTTTGAGGGTGGATACATGAATGTGGATAAGTTTTTTCTGTTTCTTTACATTTCTTTGCTTGCTTGCCGAACCTTGTATTGATAATCATTATCTGTTTGTTACGGTTCGGTATACATGTATACAATATGATAAACAAGATGAACAAGGAAAGGCGGCGTTCAATGAACGCAAACCCCACACGACCCAGGAACATGAACCATTGGCAAGGAGCCCAGGAGGATCCTAAATTAAAACGGGAAAGGGCGCAAGGGAGAGCACGGTCAGGCTTATCACTAAAATGTAACTGAGAAGGAAATCAAAGAAAATAAATAAATGAATGATTAATAGGACCACTAAGTTAACGAGCACAGGGGAAGGGGATAGGAAATTCGGGGAGGGGGCGAAATAAAGAAATAAAACTAGGGGCAAAGGGAAGATACTTACCAAAGACGAAAAAACAACAAGGGACACAAACAAAAGTGTCACCAAAACAGTATGAAACAGGACCACTAAGTTAACGGGCACAGGAGAAGGGGATAGGAAATTCGGGGGAGGGGGCGAAATAAAGAAATAAAACTAGGGGCAAAGGGAAGAAACTTACCATAGACGAGAAAACAACAAGGGACACAAACAAAAGTGTCACCAAAACAGTATGAAACAGGACCACTAAGTTAACGGGCACAGGAGAAGGGGATAGGAAATTCGGGGGAGGGGGCGAAATAAAGAAATAAAACTAGGGGCAAAGGGAAGAAACTTACCATAGACGAGAAAACAACAAGGGACACAAACAAAAGTGTCACCAAAACAGTATGAAACAACAAGACATACACCTTATACATTTATAAGTCTCTTAATCTGTTCATTTGAAAATTCTGATCTTCTCAATGACTTTTTTTTTAATATCCTCTACTTAAAATTTATTTCAATTAAAATATGTGACCCTTCCTTTATAGTTACACAGCATATGGCTGGATCACAATAAAGTTCCTTTTTAGTAAATTAATAAAGTACGTCAAGAAGACATTTAACTTTATCAATAGGTTTAATTTGGTATTATATATCGGCAATCGGTGAAAAAGAGCTCTTGAAATATTATTTGTACAAATACTGAATAATTTGAAGTGTATTTCAAATAGTTTCCTTCAATATTTCTTTTACGTTCTTAATTGTCATATAAATATGCATGTATAAATGAAGTCAGTATTTTATCCGAGAGTGACATTTGGCAGTCATTAGCAGTAAACAAGAAGGCAAACCACCAATTGATAAATGTTGAGTATATGTATTATTTAATATTAAAAAAATATTAAACAACAGTACTTGTACAGAGCCTATTTGCGACCATTGCATTTTAGGTTAAATACAATGATACTTTTCAATAGTATTTAATAATGCACACATTTATTAAAAAATAATGAATAGATTTATTTCCCCCGATATTTCGTTTAATTTAATCTTCATGCGTAACCCACACTTACCTGCTAGACACACTGGTAGCTACTACCAGCTTTCACGGAATCGATTTTTTACGATGACGTCATAACATGTCCGCCTAAGATAGAGGAGACAGTACAAATTTGAAATAAATCGCATGTATGCGTTAAGACAGGTACAATCTACTATTTTTTCTAGGAGACGTTAGTAGTAAAATTTATATTCTATTGATCTTTAGAGGTAATTGAAGTTACTTTCAGGTTTAAGCAGTAAAAATCAGTCCAAACTATCGATAGTGTTACCGGTAGATTTTCCGTGCGTAAAAATGACAGTTAAAATTAGGCGTAACGGTTTGACAGTAAGAAAAAAAAGTCTGTAAAATGGGTCAAACCGTTCACGCCAAATTAATTAGGCTACCCAGAGGTATGTACAAAAAGTACCGGAAAACGGAATTTAGCCTAAGGTTTTCAGTATAATTTTGTATTGTGTATAACAGGTTTGTTGAAATTGATTTTCCATGCATATATTGTGTTTGTGTATAATTAAATGATATTTTAATTGAGTTGTCAATATGCTTATTTATTGTATAGAGGGGTATATTTACCTTTATTTTCTTCTCATTTATTTGCTCATATTTTTCAATTATTGAATAAACATAGGGGACAGCATGAAATACCCAAATATACCCAAATATTGCAAAAATATACCCAAAGATTGCAAAAATTTACCCAAATATTCCCAAATATACTTAAGATAAATGTTTAATAATAAAAAGTGCTGTCTTAATTATGAATTACAATATACATTTTCACTAAAATTCATAGTACATACCCAAATATAAATTTTTGTATCATTTTGTTTTGAACTGAAATATACCCAAATACAGTATGTATACTCCATTAAAGCTATAATATATATTTTTTAAATAATACGATG